TCTTCGCACTCCATATATAGACTAACATATTTGCGCTGTTGCCCCCAACCACACTTGGAGTGGGTTGTTTCCGTAGGTGGATTTTTGACACGGGTCTTGCCCGTGTTGAGATTGCGCTGGAACCCCCATTCCCTATACTACTTTGTGATATAATGAAACTTGTGTTTAATTTGTATTCAATTTGAGCTCTTTCCAAAAGAACGTCACTTAACAAACTCCAATTCGAGTAGAATTTTCAAAGTTCTCAAATTAAACTTCAGAAATCTAGAACTAGAAGGCGTTCCAAGAGAGATCTCAAAGTTGTCACAATATGTTCAATCTCGAAAGAAACTAGCTTGATAAAAAATAATAAAGAAAAAAGAAAAAAAAAAACATTAAAAAAAATTGGTAAATCATTTATTAGTTTTGGCATTACCAGCACGTTTTTTTCCTGAGGTGAAAACATTAATTAACTTAGATTTAATAAAAGTATCATTTATAATTAATTTCGAGAATGACACCAAATCCGCGACTAACCAAGCATTGGAATTTTTCATGGCTTTATAAACAACTGATTTAAACTAACTTTTTCTTTTCTGATGTTGAATTTGATAAATAATATAATGTTTAACCTTGAATCCTTAAGGGGGACTTTAAATCTTTCACTTTTTTCCTAAACAAACTCAAGTAAGGGAACTTTTTTTGAAAGTTTTTTGTCAATAATTTTAATAATCAATTAGATAATGTTTGGGAGAAAAAAACTGGTGCAATAGATCATTTGATTAATTAGAAAACTACATACATCTCATGCGATTGCCAGGTAACTTCATATTTATCTTCTGATTGGCTGAATTATTTCTAATACTTTAGTGTCCCATCATTAGATGACGATTACGTCAATTGATTGCCAGGTAACTTTATATTTCTCTTCTGATTGGCTAAATAACTTCTATACCGTGTCTCGTCATTAGATATTTTCATTTTGAGCTTCGAATCTTCTGCTGAATCGTAGCATTTTCAACTCTCGGTAAGTTTGGATATAAATTATTGTAACTACTATACATAAACTAAATAGATACCAATCCCTAATATTAACAAAACTCTTCAGAAAACTAATTCATGAGCCTTTACTTAAATAATTTTGATAATTAGGGAGGTTTTCATATGAGTGTGAAACATACGGTACTGCCTTATCGCACGTACACACTGCGACATCTCATTACATGGAAATGGCTTTCCATATAAGAATGGTTATCGTATGAGTGTGAAACATACGGTACTGACTTATAGCACGTACACGATGCGACATGTCATTACATGGAAATGGCTTTCTACATAAGAATGGTTATCGTGTATATGAGTGTGAAACATACGGTACTGACTTATCGCACGTACACGGTGCGACATGCCATTACATGGAAATGGCTGTCTACATAAGAATGGTTATCGTGTATATGAGTGTGAAACATACGGTACTGCCTTATCGCACGTACACGGTGCGACATGCAATTACATGGAAATGGCTTTCCATGTAAGAATGGTTATCGTGTATATGAGTGTGAAACATACGGTACTGACTTATCGCACGTACACGGTGCGACATGCAATTACATGGAAATGGCTGTCTACATAAGAATGGTTATCGTGTATATGAGTGTGAAACATACGGTACTGACTTATCGCACGTACACGGTGCGACATGCCATTACATGGAAATGGCTTTCCATGTAAGAATGGTTGTCGTATGAGTGTGAAACATACGGTACTGACTTATAGCACGTACACGTTGCGACATGCCGTAACATGGAAATGGCTTTCCATATAAGAATGGTTATCGTATGGCGGTGAAGCATGGTGCAAGGCATCTCTATTTGAGATGAAAACGAGTCGTTAAGCCCCGTTTACGCGATTTTTGCGGCGATTTTTGCTGCGATTTTTGTGGCAATTTTCGGAAATATGAAATCTTTTGTCTCATCCTTCAAAAGAGACATTTAACTAGGAAAATATTGGTATCCTGAAAAAAACTCTACAAGTAAATTCCTTACCATTATTTATTATGGAAAAAATCGGAAAAAAAAATCGCAGCAAAAATCGTTAGTGTAAACGGGGCTTTAGCCAACAGATACCTCGCGTACTGCTTCCTAAGAGTGTTGTCGGTTAACTACCCTTTGGAACGGGAGTCAATAGAGCAGTTTTCGTAGTCGGTTGCATAAGACGCTTGCCTTGCCGTAACCTTGACGTTTTTATTTTAGAATTTTGATTGAGGATTTTTTTTCTCGCGCATTGTGATTGGTCTGACAGTGCCGTGACCTTGGCGTAACTGTAGCCGCGCCGTGTTTATGCCGCGTTTCAGGAATTTGATCGGACAGAGAGTAAATTCTCGTATAATTTTGATTGGGCTGACGTATACCTCACCATGTCACGACCGCGATCGTGCCGTGAGCTTTCCATAGTCACACCAAATGAGCTTGAAGATGAGTCGACAGTCCACAGATCTCTGCCGTAGAGTAACCTTACATTGTTGTCGGCAACGTGTATGGTAGTCTTACAATTGTCATAATTCATAAAATTTACAAAACTGAGAAACGTTTTATTTATTTATTTATTTATTTATTTATTTATTTATTTATTTATTTATTTTTGGTTGTTTTAGGCTCATCATGAGGGGTGTTTCATACACAGCCGTTTTCCTTTGCCTTTTGATAGCGTCGAACGAGTTTGGACCTGCGCGCTTCATGCGTATAGAGTCACCAGTGCCTCGACTGTCAAAGAAGTCGAATAAAAGTTACTTTAAAGGAGGTAAGAATTGGTTAAGTTACTGCTTGCCTGCTTGCCTGCTTGCCTGCTTGCCTGCTTGCCTGCTTGCCTGCCTGCCTGCTTGCTTGCTTATAGTAATTTTATACATCCGTTCATTTATTTCAGAGGACAAACACACCAACCATAATGAGTACCGCCGATCTGTCATCGAAAAGCGCTCATGTAAGATATTATGAATTATTGTTCCTTTTTCTTTCATTCTCTTATGTTGCCCTCGCCATTTGCACTTTAATTGTTTAAAGGCTTAAGGTTTACCCTCAGAACTAATAAACGGAGCAAGATGCGAAAGAAAAGTATAGAAACGGAAATTCTACGACTGACATGATGACATTCAAGACATTATTTGAGCTAATCAGACAGAACACTATTCAGCTATTCAGTTGTAACAGCTCCAAAATGGTTCTACGGGTTTCTTTCCAAGGGCGGATCCAGGGGGGCAAAGGTGGGCTGAACCCCCCCACCTTTCAGCAGAAACACAAAACAAAACAAAACAGAAGAATTAGAAGCCTTTTTCAACTGTTTTCTGTTGTGTTGACAGAAGAAACTCTATTAGCCCCCCTCCCTAAACTCAATTCGCGCCCCCCCCCCCTCCCCCCCTTAAAATTTTGGCTGGATCCGCCCTTACTTTCACAGGGTTTAATCTGTGAGTTAGCGGCGCCCTTACTCAGATCATCCCGAGTATATTATTTCATCTTAAATCTGTTGTATCAAATCCACCAACAAAACTAACATTTAACGAAAATCTGTTTTAGTGCGTACTACAATTTTCAAAGTGGTCAAATTCGGATCCGACTTTGTTAACAAAGTCACGACATTAGCGAGTATGATTTCAACAGTTTATCTACTCATCGAGCAATGCTGTGGCGGGAAATGGAAAGATGTGTGCGTTTGGAATAAGGAGGTTGACAACATTCAACAGGAGTTGGATGCTAAACAAAAGAAAATTGACGAAATGCAACTCGAAAGTATGTACCCTTTGATGTATTTGTAACATGTTTGTTCAACCTTCTTCCGAAGTAGTTAGCTGAAAATTAAAAGAGAAGAATCAATTGAAAAATCCAATAGTGAATTGAATACTGCATCTCACCACTGTAAAGAATATAATCAACTTTTAAATACATCTCTAACTAGGCAGGCCTCTATACTGCATACGCGACTGCGTCTTCGACAGTCTGCTTT